CCCAGATCCGCCCAAATCTGCCTCTGCTCACCCTTCCTCTGCTCGCACTCCCCAACTCTTTCCTCCATCCTGATGCCCCCCGCAGAAGCGGCTGACGGCCGGGCGCCTACTTCGCTGCAAACAACAACGCCCGCCAGCAGTCGCAACCTCAGCCACCACCAACCAACGCCCATCAACACTCACAGTTGTCGGTGCGATCCCCGCGGGGCTGAACGCGCCCACTGACGCGCGCGGCGGCTGCGGGCGCTTCCTGGCCATCAGCCAGGAGCATTCATCTGCGGCCAGCGCGTCCAGATGCAAGCCAGGCGCTGCGCCCTCTACCTCGCTCACTACGATGCGACCGCAGCTTGGGTAGGGGTGCGTCAGCCCTAGCGCGTGCAGCAGTGCAGTCAATGGCGCGCTGCGCCGCGCGCCGCGCGACCCGCGATGGTTGACGCCCTTGGCGTTGCCGCAGCTGGCGCACTGGAGGTGCAGCGCGCGCGCCACCATCTTGCGACTCACTCAACCTCGCGGTTGCAAGAAGATCGGAGTGCGCATGCTATGCATGCGCGCGTGCGTTCACTGACGCAGCGGCCAATTTTCGCTGGGGGCAAGCCCGCAAAACCTCTTCTCCCCCACTTTTTTACATCAGACAGGAGACGAGAGGCCTCGGCCCAGCGAGTTCAGCGCCAAGATAACCACGCGCATCGCCAACTCGAAGATGAACGCCATTCCACCTCTGACCGGCTCCCGGAAAGAAGATGGGCTTGTCAGATCACTGCCCAAGTCAGCTCAGAGCAAGAGTCCGCTCGCCCGCGCTGGCCAGTGGGCCCGGCGCCGACCGCGGGGCGAACGAAGCAAGGAACCGCCAGGATGATCTGGCTTCGACTTGCTCCGCGCACCAGATGCTGGCCGCGGGCGCCTGGCGACGTGCCGCCGCGCGTCAGTGGGCAGCTGGCGCTGCTGTACGTTGCGGCAGTTGTCGCTAGACCAACAACGAACACGGACAAATTGTGACTAGGACAGTTTTGAAACATCCACGGTAGCTCACAACTGGGCGTTTGATACTTACGACGCAAGTCAAGCTACTGTTGTGGTGTGGGGTGCAAGGTTCACGCCCACGCATGGCGACCGTCTTCCTTCGCCGTGTTATCCAGACGTCCTCGACGCGCACTGGGTGCGATTTACGGCAGGCCCGCGGCGCCGACCGTGAGAGTGACCAGCTTTGCCCGCGTCGGCACGCCAGTCGCTCATGGCCTGCGCGAGTCAGGCCAGGTCCAGGGTGCGCGCCGGGTTTCCGTCGCGCCTCGCCTGGGGGCTCAACCACAAGAGGGCCCATGCCGCTGTTCGGCGCCAGTCCCTGGCGCGTCCTGCCTGGGGGCCGTTGCCGGCGGCCGCGCTGTCATGGCTTGCGCCCCCGATCGGCGCGGGCTTTTGGCAGGCTCTGCCTTGCGCAACAACAGGGCCCGCGCTGCCACGCAGCGCAGGTTTCCAACGCGCCCTGCCTGGGAGCTGCCACCACTGGCTACTCCACCACAGGAGCTTGCGCCATCATGCGGCGCCGCTCCAGCAAATGTAGCCAAGTCTGGAGGGGGGACTTTTCCGAATGGTCCTGCATCTACCACTGGCACCACGCGGCAGTGCCATCACGACGAGCACACCGACGGCGCATCGGCGACACGCATGAGCACCACGAAAGCTACCATGACAACGGGCGTAGCAGCGACGACTGCAACTGGTGCCACAACCTGCGGCACTACATGGTTTACCTCGACGTGTGTTTGCAAGTTAAATAAACAGGGCATTCAAGGTTGAACCAGAGCCATCAACCGAAACGCCTTCACAGCGTGCGCGCTCTCGCCAGGACTCCTGCGCGATCGCGCACCTACCAGCGCCGCGCTGCCTGAACGCTCGGCGCACCACCCGTTCTTCGCGACCCGGCCAGCACCCCAGACGCTCGCATGGTTTTGACTGGGAACATCGACGAGAGCCATCATAGGCATGTGATCAAACGTCTGGCACAGGCTGTCTGGTTGAGAAGCTATATGCCTGAAGTGATCAAACGCAAGGCTTTGACAACTTCCAGCGCATTGTGATCATGGGGATATGTGCCACCCCGTCGACACTTTCGATTCGTTATTCTCTTTCTCTGTCAACAGATCAACCAGGTTTTTTCGCGCAGCAGCGATCGTCGCGAGAGCGCCCAGATGACAGGTCACCAACGCCACCGACCACGCCCTGGCAGTAACTGCGTCCAAGATTACCAGTGCTCTCAGGTACCCTGATTGGCGTCTGGGAGTGCACGTGCGGGTGGTCACCGCGCGGAACGCGACCCGCTTGACCTCGTGTGATTGGTTGGCGTCTAAGACGGAACGAAGAGGGAGAGGCCGACCCCTCTCTGCGCGCCGCCGACCACCCGCCGCGCGACGACCGCAACCACGGCGTGTTTTACCAGTACTCGAACAGGAGCCAGCGCACCTGTCGGCAGCGACATTGGATCGAGCGGGCGCGCGCGAGGCGCTGCCATGGCGCAGGTCGGCCGCGAGGCGTGCCGACGCGCCGACCAATGAACCTCGCGGCCCACGCGACGTCCACGAGCAAAGTGCCAGGTCTCTTTGGCGCCCCTCCGAGCAGCATGGCCCGGAAGGGGGCGCATGGATCCGCTGCGCGTTTGTGGGGCTCTTGCGCGCGCCGCGACGCTATGTGGCTGCTACGTGGCCGTGCGGCACGTTTGCGGCGCGCCCCCCTGCGCGCTGCGATGCCACTGCGCCGCTGGGCGGCCGCGTCGCGCAACGTCGTCACGTCGAGCAGAAATCAACGAGGCCGCAGAACGCGCGCTGCATGGTCGCGCTCTCGCGGCATTGCAATGCGCGCGCCGAGGCGCGGCGCGCGCGCGCGCCCACGTGACGCTGGGTCTGACCATCTGGCGCAGCGCAGTGTGCAGGCGCGCGACGCTGCGACGACAGGACACGCGCGCGCCCGCACCAGGCGCGCGCCGTCGAAAGCTCGCTGGCACCCCGGCCAGATCAACAACGTGCGCGACCTCGACGGTCTGCCAGGTCACGCCGCGCCAGTGCATTGCCCGTGCACGGCCGCATCTACCAACCGTGCTCACACCAAACGCCACTGCGCGCCGATGCACGGCCCATGCAACTCGACCACAGCTGCCGCAACAACATCGTCGAAGACACCGCCGATTACAATTGACACAACAACAACGACGACCACACCGTCGACTACAACAGGCGGTGCTACAGCCATGGCATCGGCTCTGACTACACCGATTTCAAGCGGCTCACACCACCGTCCTGGAGATTATGGGCATATAATCTACATGATCGTTGACGCCAGCACGGTCGTCGCCGCAGCGGCGATCTGCTTTCGCTCCAGACGAGACCGAGGTAGCGACCCTCCCGAAAATCATCGGCCACGCAGACAGGACAATTATGGCAACGCGACTTCACATGCTGCGATTCTGGGGGCTTCGGACACATTGGCACGCCGTTTCTCAGTCAAGATTCCGCATTGCATTTTCCGAAAGCAATAACGTCATCCCCAGGGGACAGCACAGCACGAACAGGGTCTCACCAGCAGGCAGCGCCAATCCCGGCCCATGCGACCATAACCAGCAGGCAGCACCAATCCCAGCCCATGCGACCAATCCCGGCCCATGCGACCATGACCAATCCCGGCCTTGTGCAGAGGCTCTGAGACAGGCCAGGCCCCCCCGCGCGCAGGGCCGCGCTCTGCCTGGACAGCCGGGCGCGCAGAAACACGCGCGCGCGCAAACGCGCGCGCGGCTCTCCACGCACACATATACACGCGTTAAACGCTAGACCTACGCCGTTCACTGGGATGACGCATCGGCGCGCGTGGAGGCCCAAGCAAACCCAGGCAAAAGTGGCGTCCTGCCCCGAGGTTCCTTGGCCTGAATTCAGTGGGGCCGAGCACTGACCAACGCCAAAGGCGAAGTGTCCTGGTGCCGTCTGCGAGCCATAACCTCACCGAGCTCGGCCGCATCCACCTGTGCACCGCCAACTCGCGCCGTCACCCTGGCAACAGTGTGGCCATGGCTCCCGCGCTCTTCAGCGCGCCGCGCCGCGCTCGCACGCAACCAAGCAGCGCGCGAGAGCGTGCGCGCGAGGCACCACTTGCGCTCTGATCTCCGTGCACACACTCAGCCCAGCGCTCGGCAGCCAACGCAACCACGGTCATGCACCACCTGAGCTGGGAAGGTGGTTCACACTACGACATCAAAGTAATGTGGATTTGGATTGGCACGTCGGTACTAGACACCAGCATGTCAGTGAAATTCGCGACAGTTTCGTTGCGTCTTGCATTGGGGTGCCGAGTTTTATTCTTATGTACACCACGCACATTGCATGCTTTCGTCTTCGTCGTTGCGCACTCCAGCGTTGTATGCCAGTCTGTCGATGATACATTTTTTCTGGCAGTAGCTCAGCCTCTTTTGCGCGCCGATCTACAGCTTGCGAGCGTCGGCTCAACTTCTGGACGACCCGCGCGAGCCAACAGTTACGCCACTACGATCGCGAACCGTGAGACCAGGCTAGTGCGGTGCACGCGCACGGCGCGACTCACAGCGCAACCACCACTCCACTTTGGCCCAGTGCTACCATGCAGCACGGCCCTGAGTGTCCAGGCGACCAGGCATGCATCCACGCGCGCGCGGATACGCACGCGCAGAACACAACATCCGATATGATACATCCGCCTGCTCATTTGAGTACGCACAGTGGCGGTCTGGAACGTCTGAGCGCCCTCCCAGTGCAGGGCGGGCGGGCGGCCCTTGAGTCGAGCGACGAATGTAACCAGCAATTCAGACGACCTCCAGCGAGCAGCATCGCAGTCGCGGCCAAGGAGGCCCCTGCGGATTGCAAGGAGCCGCCCGACCTCCAGGCAGACTCCTACGCTCTTCCCGCAGTCACTTCGCCGAGGAAGTTTCGGGGCGCTACAATCGTCCCGAACGGCGGCCCGAGCCCGGGCCACCAGGCCCCCTGCAGGAACAGTCGCGCATCCTGCCGTGTTGCCTCGCCGTGGATACCGACGCGTCAACGCCATGACCAGCGTCCTCGCCGCGGCCCTCGTGTTGCGCGCTGCCTCGTGCACCGCCGCGCCGGGCAGGATGCGGAGCAGCGCGGCCGTCCGCGGCGCAGAGCAGTCCGACCGCGTGGTGTCCACCAGGGATGTCGAGTCTAGCATCTCCGACGCCTCCGAGGAGGCCTTCGGTGACGGCGCCGCCGCTGACTGCCACTTCGAGCGTCTCGAGCCCAGCATGTGGCAGACCTACGTACCAGGAGCTGCCCAAGAACTCGGAGGGGCGGCCTGGGCCGCAGGCAGTGCGCCCCACCAGACGCAGTTATTCTGCCAAGGAGCACGGCTGTCTCATCAGCCCCTCGAGCACCACGGAATGCAGCAGAACGTGTCAGAAGTGCATGAGGTCGACGTCCTGCAGGATAAGACCCCAGCGTTCGTGGAGGAACTCTTCGAGTCCTCGAAACGCGCCGCGTCGGGCATGGGCTGTCGGTGGACGACGTCGCGGCGACGGCCGCGACTCTGGAGATGCGGATCGCGAACGAGTCGCTGACGTGCTCCAGATTGCGCGCGCGCGCTGAACGATCGCGCCGCGGTGGACAAGATCGACGCCCATGCTCTGCACCACGTCTCGTCCTCGCACCCCTACATCGCCGAGCTGGGCGCCCGCGGCAACGGCGCGATGGCGCAGGCGCAGCAGCGCCTGGCCATCAAGGACGCCGTGACCAGCGCCAGCGGCCAGCGGCCGGGATCGCAGCATGCGGGGCCGACGCGATGCGGAACCGCGATTTCGAGAGCCGCATCCGGACGGATCCCTTCGCGACGAAGACGCGCAGCTTCGGGAGCAGTCGGGGGATCGTCGGGGGCCTCGCTCAGGACTGCGGCATGCGGCAGAACATGGAGTTCCGCCAGAAGGAGAAGCTCGCGAGCCTGGACCCCAACGGGTCGGGCCACGTGCTGTCTGAGGCTTTCTACTTCCAGTCGCCGACGGCCGACGACCAGCTCGCCGAGTCCGTCAAGTGCCTGCGCGCAGTGGGCGCGCTCGACGAGTCCACCGACGGCATCCACATAGCGAACTACATGCCAGGCCCCTCCAACTGCATCTCCAGATTGACGTGCTACTAAGTGTGCTGCCCTAGCGAATGCGAGGGCATGATGACGCGCACTCGCCGACAGCGGTCTGGCGCTATGCTTTCCATCGGGGGCGGTGACTGGGGAACGGCGCTGCGTTGCCCAACGAGCGCCTGCGCACTCTCTGTGCTACATCATCGCATCACCCTCGCACGGACACTTGCACGCGAGCGCGTCGACGCGCGCAGCGGTGCCCGTCCCAGGGCGACGCCGGCGAGGTCACGCCCAGAGTCGCTGAACATGTGACATCAGCCACCAGGCTCACCGTCATGATCCTGACAGCGACATGCAGAACCACGCGGTCGTCATTGCTGTACGCGAGCCCATGCCATGGGCAAGGACAGCAGGCCGAACCAGCCCCCCTCGCGCGGCTGCCAGCAGCGCGAACCCCGCCGCTCCTGCAACGGATTGACGGGAAGCGCTTGTGCCCCCATTTGGCACAGCACCATCCTTATCCTCCTGAACGCGCTGTGCAGCATAAGTGCACGTGTGACGTGCGTCCTGACAGCCAACGCCACGTGCCGATGGGCTATAGCATGTCTGAATCCGATGTACCAGCGGCAAGGCGTGGGGCGACTAAGCTGCGACGAGCACCGTGCGGATGGCCCGACCGCGCGCCCATCGATTTCGTTCAACACGAGCACATTCGAGAAGCCGTTCCGTGCCATCAAATGGCCGGCCAACCTCTCCGTCAACTGCAGGGGCTTTCTTGTCTCGCAGGAGATTGGCGCCACGCGGGCGACTGCATGAATATGCATGAATGTCCTCATCGCGAAGCTCAGGCGGGCACAGCGCGCCAGGCACACGACAGGCGTTATGCGCACGTGCCTGGCTGTGGCACCTCAGCACCGCCTGCGCTGCGAGGTGCCAGCGCGACAGCGCGCCACCGCAGAGGTCAGTGCTGGATCACCAGCCACGCTTCTTTACAGACCAGCCGGCGTGCATCGCAGCGGCCTGGCACGTTGACCACTCTGTGCTGCTGACAACGGGCCAGCTGCGCGCTGCTGTTGGCTGCCTTCGGACAGCGCGCCGCGTCGGCGCCGCTTAGCAGTCACCAGACCAACGCGCAGACCAGTCAACAGCTGCGATTGGCAAGCGTCGGCAACTAGAGGCACGCTGTCGCAAACAGCTGGACGAGCTGCATCGGCGCGCGCCCGACGCAAGGCGCACGGGTGCTCCCCAGCTACGCAGCCGCGCAAGCAACGCAACGGCCAGCTACGCCCGCCGGCACCCACACAAAAGAGCGCCGAAGGCGAGCGGGCACACCAGCAGCGTGCCGGAAATAGAGCCAGGGAGCGAACCTGGCTGGAAGGCACGATCGGCGCTGCGGGTCGAGCGCGCGCTGGGCGCGATCTGCGCCGAGCCCCGACGAGCAAACGCTCCCGTCTGCGAGGCAACATCAGCCGGTCACTTCGGGCCCAGAGCCTGTCAGGGCTCTCCTGGTGGTGTGGAGTCGTTGCGATCCATAGCCTTGGCCAGGGTCGGCCCAGCTCATCTCGCGTGCGGTCCGAGCACATACGAGCCGGCAGGGCCCCCAGGGCTCGCAGTATCCCGTTCGGTCTGAAGCTCTTGAGCCACGGGCGAGGTGTGCCGGGCGCCCGCTGCACAGGCCGCGCGGCGCATGTTCTGGCATATCGTCGCGGGCGGCCCCGCGTTGCCGATGTGCTGCGGAGGGGCGCTCTTCATTGCCGGGTTGCCCCTCGAATAGGAGGGGTCCGCCGCCGCGTGGCTCGAGATGGCCAGCGTATTTGATGCTGTTGAAATGGAAAAGGACCGCCGCTCTGAGCACCGCTGCCGCCCGCAGTTCTAGGTCCTTCACCTCCTCCCATCTCCTCTTTTGCTGCTCTGGCTCAGGCACCCGTCTGCCCCTGCAGCTTCTCGGGGGCGCAAGCTCCCATCCCCCCCCTTCGCGGCGACGGCGGTGGCGGGGCGACTCCACTGGGTTCGGGGGCGCATCTTGCAAGGCGTCTGCACCCGCATCACGTTCGGCTCGGGCTCATTGCAGGGGAGTTCCAAGGTCAGGATCGCCATGGGCCCCGCGGGCCCTGCAGTCAGTGCGACCAATCGGAAGGTGCTGCTGAACATCTTCAGCTGCACCGAGGGCCTCCTGACGGCGAATGTGGCAGTGGACCGCGGACATCGACGCTCCGATGGGCGCCAGGAGATTGGGTTGTGGCTTTCTGCTCCCGAGCTGGCCTTACTTCGAGACTGCGGTGCTGACGGTGGAGACGATGGCCCCGCTGGCCCTCGTGGCGACGCTCCTGGTGGTGGCCGAGGCGGCTCTCGACAGCGTCGTCGCGATGACCCTGGCCAGGGGAAGGGGCATGGTGGCAGCGACCCTTGGCGCAGAGACGGCGGCGATCCATGGAGTTCCTCGCGCCGGCCGAAACGTCCAAGGCATTGCACGCCTCTTTCGCGGATTTTTCAGCTCCCGCGCAACGTCGACGCGCCCGCGTTTTCCTGCTCGTCGCCTGCCGCACCCGGCACTGATGGCTGCGCGCTCGTCGGGGCCTAGCCCCGCGGGGAAACGCTAAAGTGAGATTGTGGATAAAATGGTGCATGAGCGTGGAGAAATGTTATATCCTGGAGCTCGCAGCGGTCTCGCCTGCGTGGCCGAAGCTGCCACTGACGCGTTGCTGCAGGCAGGCGGCTTCCTGGATGCCGGCGCCGTTTCGCCCAGGAGCGATCTCCGCGTTGAGGTGGTCCAAGCTAGGCGGGGGCGCCAGCAAACGCGTCTGCGCTGAGTGGTCTCGATGATTTGCGACGTGCTCTGGCAGGGCTGGAGGCAGCCATTTCCAAAGGATTGCATGATGTGGCTCATCCTCCACGCGGGCCCACTCTTTCTCGGTTTCCTGGTGGAGGGGGGCATTGCTGTGAAGTGCAGCGCGGTGTGAATCGCCTTCTTCGTCAGGAGGTTCAGTTTCTGTCGAGTGATTCGGTGGTCTTCTGGCCTTGCGATTGCCCGAGCATAGGAAGTGATTGCGAGCAGTATGGATGCCTTTTGAGTCTGCTCATCATCAACAGGTTCTGTGCGCCTACGGAGGGCGAATTCATAGGCCGCGTTGGACGCATCTCCGGGGTGAGCGAGACAGTGAGACCAAGATTCAGGCCCGGATGCATTCAGATGAGGTGTTCTCTGTGACTGATGCAAATGCTGTTCATGTTTGTCGCGGTTCTGCTGTTACTCTTTTCTGACGCCCCCTCGAGTCGGCGGCGCATCTTTTTTGGCACGGCGCAAATCTCAAACATGTTTCGGCTGCCGGCAGTGGTGGGGGTCTTGAATGTTTCGAACGTGCTCCTCCACTGGCATTGGTGGGGGTCTCTGGCATGTTTGCATCAGGTTCCTCTACTGGCGTTGGTGGGGTCTCTGATTTATTTCGAGCATGTCCTCTGTCTGACTTTGGTGGGTGCTTCTGCATGTATTTCAAACATGCTCAGCAACAGGCTGTGTCGGGGTCTCTGACTTCTTTCTTGCATACTCTCCGTCTGGCATTGGCATTGGTGGGTGTCCTTGCTATGTGTCATACTTGTTCTGGTACTGGCAATGGTGGGGTCTCTGATTTATTTCAAACGTGTTCTCCGTCTGGCTTCGGTGGGTGTCTCTTGTTATATGTTCAAACATGCTCAGCTACTGGCATTGGTGGGGTCTCTGCTTTCTGTCAAACAGGTTCTCCGTCTAGCATAGGTGTGTTTCTGTTATATGTCAAGCATGCTCCGCTACTGGCATTGGAGGGGCCTCTAGTTTACCTATTTCAGACATGTTCTCCGTCTGGCATCGGTGGGAGTTTCCTTGTATATTTCAAACATGCGTAGCGAGTCTGAAGACACAATCATTACCTGTGCTCCGCGTTCACGCTGGGACTTGCCCACCCCACACGGGCCCCGCGCTGCTCGTAGCCGCGCCTCCTCCCCTCCCTTGAAGAAAACTCCTCCCCTCTCCTCTTCCCCCTCCTCCTCCTCCTCCTCCTCCTCCTCCTCCTCCTCCTCCTCATCGTCCTCCCTCCCCCTCCTCCCCCCTCCGTCCTCCTCCTCTTTTTTCTCCTCCTCCCCCTCCTCCCCCTCCTCCTTTTCCTCCTCCTCCTCCTCCTCCTCCTCCTGCTCCTCCCTTCGATTCGATGCGGGCATCAGGGTTGATTTCATGGCCCAGGGATTGGGCGACGCCAGCCATGTGCCAGACTAGGTCGATGCACGCTTCCTCGCTTGCGGGCACGCGCGGCAGCCTGCGTCGAGCTGGCCCAGTACACGATTTGCGCCGTCCAGAGGGGAGAGGAGGAGCCCCGAGAGTGTGGGCCCCCATGCGAGCAGTGCGGCGACGGAGCGCGCGGTCAGGTCTTTGAGGGTTCTGGGGGCAACCCACGATCTGATACCGCACCGTTTTTGTGACCTTCGTGCCTTGACACCCTCCGATGAGATGTTTCAATACGTTGCCCCAGGGCTCCCGACCCCTTGCCAGGGTTTAGACTTTTGTCCTGAACCCATTGTTTGATGGTCCTGGTGCCCGATGAACGGCCCCCGAGGGTCGAAATTGAGGAAACATCGCCTGGACTGCGGCGCCGTTAAAGGAGGGCCTCCGGTCAAACCGTCGAGTGCCTGTATCCCGGTGCAGGCGTTCGAGGTAGGGCGCCGATGATAGGATCAGAAGGAAGGGCGCTGTTGCAGCGCGCCGAGGGGGAAGTGACGAGGGGGCAGGCCAGGCCCCGGGGGAAGTGCCCCCACGGCGTCTTTCGTCGGTTCTCGGCGGTCTTTCTGCCTCGGGGTGCGTTCCAGCTGCGCCTTGCCGAGAGCGTTCAGGGGGGCCCAGATCGTCCTGGACGGCCGCCGGGGGCTCCAAGGTATGACTCGAGGACAACTCGGCGGCGCGCCGGCGGGAAACGTGAGAGGGAGCGGGCCGTTTCAGAAGGCGGCAGGGCTTCTCAGAAGCCCTCTGCCCTTCTGGGAAGCATTCTCTGGCTTCGGAAAAGGGCTAGAACGCTTCGTATGGGCCGAAGGCCTTCTGAGCCTTCTGGGAAGGCCTGCCCCCTCCGAGAAGGCCTTCTGAGAAGGACTTCTGGGCCTCCCGAGATTGTTGTCGGTCTCCGGAGGAAGCGGCGAAAACTTCCTCGGAAGGCCCGAGGCCCTCCGAGTTTTCTTAGCAGTCGGAGGTGGATAGGCCTCCTACCCTGACGCGTCGATTAAGGAATTGGCCGTTTTCGGATCGCGAGAGGGCGTCGCGGCCGTCATTCTTGCGGGTCCAGGTCCGTCGGTTTCGGTCCCAGGCCGTTTTCACCACAGGGAGGTGTACGAAAGGGAGGCTTGCCCACCACCGATAGAAGGCCCGCCCCCCCGTGCCTCTCCCCCCATCGGCGCGCTGCCGAGTCCGCTTCTCGGGTCACAGCTCGGGCCCCGGAACGCTCTCGGCGAGGCGCAGATGCCGGAAAGCACCCCGAGGCTGGGAAGCCGCCTGGGACCGACGAGAAGCGTCTCAAACTTCGAACCTCGAAGCCGGAACTGGCCCCTGCGCGAAGTCTTGTCGAATCCCCATGGCCCGATCCGATGATAGGACCTCGATTTTTTCAGCGGCGCGCCCGAGGGGAGGTGAGAAGCAGCAGGCCTTCTCAGAAGGCGGCGGGTCTTCTCAGAAGGCCCCTGGCCTTTGGAAAGTCTTTCGCCGTTTCGGAGAAGGCTTCGAGCGCTTCCTAGAAGGCCGAAGGCCTTCTGAGCCATCTGAGAAGGCCCGCCCCCTCTGCCGTTCCTGGTGGCGCGCCGCCGAGTTTGGTTTTCGCGTCATACCTCGGGCCTCCAGCAGCCGATCCGGACGATCTGGGCACCAGGGGAAAGCTTTCGGCGAGGCGCAGCTGCTGGAAAGCACCCCGAGGATGACAAGCTGGACAAAGCTTCTCGACCCTCGACCCCGAAGCTGGCGCCCGCGCGACGTTTTTGCGAATCCCCACTGCCCGATCCCATGGTCCGACCTTGGAGACCGGGAGCAGGCGCTCGAGCAGGCCTCCCTCGTCGTCCAGACCAACGGCGCCATCGAGGCGGGCGGCAGGGGTGGGAGGGGAGAAGAAGCAGGGTGAGGGAGGACGAGGAGGAGGAGGAGGAGAAGAGGAGGAGAAGGAGGAGGAGGAGGAAGGGGACGAGGACGAGGAGGAAGAGGAGGAGGAGGAGGAGGAGGAGGAGGAGGACCAGTGCTAATTCAAGACTCATCAACGAAATTGAAATACCCCCCCTTCCAAAATTGTTCCATCTTCATAGGCCCCATACAGAAGCCCTTCTGGCTCAGGCCGCTGGGTCTGAGCTTGCCAGCGCGTACTTCAGAGCGGCTCGCGCTTGCGGGCCAATCCGATTTCTTTCACGTTCAGGCCGCAGAGGCCAGTCATTCGCCGCGGGGGCTCCCGCCGTGGATGGCCCCGCCGCCCGATGTCCTGCCAGGGCCGCGCCCGCCTCTGCGGGGGTGCCGCTGCGGCTGCGCGGACGCCTGGGTGTCGAGGACTGCATGTCGCCAGTGTGGTCGGTCTGCCCCGCAGAAGACCAGCCAGGCGGCGCGCAAGGCAGCTGGCGAGGCCAAGGCGCCGACCACTGGGCTCAAGCGTCCCCTCCTGGGGCAGTGGGCCAATGGTGCGCCAGGCAATGCGAACTCCAAGATGCTCAAGATCATCCAGGACCTGCAGCAGCAGGTTGCGAGGCTTGCAGGAGGTGCGCCGCCCGAGGGGGGCTCTGTATCGCCGCCGTGGGTCGACCGTCGAGGTGGTCAAGTTCCCGGCGCCGTTGGCAGCACCCCGTCGGGTAACCGAGCAGATCGGGGTCGACAGTTCGGCCATCGCTGCAGTGGAGGAGGCGGAGAAGAAGGCTACGGAAGCGGGCAAGAAGAAGCCTCCCTCGGCGCAGTCTGCGCGCTGGAAAGTGGAGAACCTCAGGACTAAGATCGGCAAGCTCGAGAACCGCTCGGGTCAGATCGAGCAGCAGAAGGCGGTCCTTGACGATGAGCTTGCCACGGTCAAGGAGACGATCACCAAGACGAAGGCCGACCTCGAACAGACCGAGGGCTTGCAAGGCCCACGCCAGCGAGTTCACCGACCCGCTCAAGGCTGTGTCGGCAGGGCTCGACGACTCGGTGGTGGAGTCGGCCGGCGGGAGAGCAGCTCTGAAGACGCTGCAGCGCCTGCAGGAGGCCGCCGACGAGGCCAAGCGGGCTGCTGAGCCTGCTGTTCCTCCTGGTGCAGCTTCTCCTGGTTCTGAAGGCGTTGCTCGTGCCGCTGAGCCCCAGCCTGAGGAGTACCGTTTCAGTGATGCCCAGAAGCGTGACTTATTCCACGCCCGAGCGGAGTGAGGCTTCGACGCGTTCATGGCACGTCTCACCGAGATGGAGGAGGAGATGTCCCTCAAGAGGCAGCGGCGGGTTTAGCCCGGCCAGGCGGGTTCGGGAGAAGCGAGGGGCGGCCAAGACGTGGAACATCTGGTCGCTTAGCGCCAGCACGTGGAGATCTTGGCAGCACGCGCTGCAGTGGCAGCTCAGCTGGGGTTCGCAGGTCAGGCCGCATATGCTGGCGGGCCAGGAGACCCACCTGAAGCTTAGAGACAAGGTCCGCAGTGCCCAGAGCTGGCTCTGGGGACTTGGCTACCGGGGCGCTTTCGGCCAGGCGCTCTCCACAGGGGACAAGGCCAACGCGAGCGAAGCGGGCGTGTTGGTGGGGGCAGCCGCTTTCGTGGGCTCTACGCCCGTTTCGCTGCCCTCGATTGGGGGGCTGGCGGAGTGCGCCTCTCGGTTGCAGGCGGTCAAAGTGGACATGATGTACACCAGGGGCCTGCTGTTCATGTCGTTCTACGGATCTGCGGACAGCAAGTCGAAGCCAGTAACTTGGGACACCCTGGAAAAGTTGAGCGCCTTTCTTCTGTGTTCCCGTCGCCCGTTGGTGCTGGTCGGCGACTTCAATGTTTCAGCTGCGGACGCCAGCCTTGGGCGGTTTGCTCAGCTGCTCCACGCCACAGTCGTTAGCCTTCCTGGTCCCGCGTGCTTCTCGGCCAAGGCTGGTTCGTACATCGACTTCTTCATCGTTTCCGAGGGCTTGGAGAACAGGGTCGCCGACGTGCGGGCCCTGCACGGTGCTCCGTGTTTCCCGCACGCTGCCGTGGCGTGCCAGTTGCGCGCCGCAACCCTGGCGCAGCCGATGCGGGTCTGGAGGCAGCGGAAGCCATTTCCGACTCAGGCGCAAGTGAGATGCCAGCCTCAGGAGGTGGAGTATCCTCGGTTCTGGGAGGCCGGCACGCCCACGCAGGGAGCGCTCCAGGAGTCGTGGGCTGAGTGGCTCGACTTCATGGGGCAGGATCTTTGCCGGCAGTTTGACTTGCATGGCGAGGGCCAAGAACCTTGCCGCGGCCGTGCGCAGGGGGTTAGCTTCTAGACGGTTCAACTTGCCGACACGTTGCAGAGAAAGGCAACTTCTGGAGTGGGCGACTCCTTTCGAGCGTGGAGGTCTTGTTACGCCATCCTGGGGCGCGCCCGCTGGTTGGCGCAGCTGGCAGCGCCGGTGGGAGGGCGCCTGCTCGGGGAGAGCGACTGCGACCCGTCGCGCGCCCCCGAGCCCGCGGCGTCTGCAAGTCCTCGCGCGCCAGCGGGAGGCAGCTTCGGTGCCCCGGTGCATGTCGGCACGCCCTTCCTGCTGCCCGATCACATCTCCCCCTGGACTGACTGCGAGGGTGGCGTCGCCGGCCGCGGTGCATGGCCCCGGGCCGGCCCCCCGCCCGGCAGGGGCAGGTGGGCTTCTGGGCGGCGCCCCAGCTGCCCAGGCAGCGGCCTCGCCGGCCCTTCTTGCGCCCCCCCGCGCAGGCCCGGCCGCCGCCAGAAAACTGCCCCAGCTTCTCGCTCCCAGGGGGTGCCAGAGGCGGAAACTGGCCCCAGTTTCCGGACCAGGCCCCCCGCCCGGCGGCCTCGGCGGCTTTCTCGGCGGCGGCGGCCCTTCCGCGGGCGAGACGGCGCTTAGTTGGCTTGCCCGGGCTGCTGCTTCGCAGTCGGAGGTCGAGGCGCGCCGCCTGCTAGTGGAGGCCTGGGGCTCGCCGGACCTTGTGCCGCGCGGCGAAGGCTGGGTGGGTCTCTCTCTCGGCTGGGCCCGCCAAGAGGTGCGCGATCTCTTGGTGCGCGGAGGTGGCGCTCTCGATCGGCTGCGCGGGCCCGACGGTTAGCCTTTGCAGGGCGACGCTGGGGTGCAGGCCATGCGGGATGAGCGGGGCCAGCACTGGGATGGCGCCAAGACGTCGATCGCGTCGCTCCAGCGGGCCACGGCCAAGGGGGCGCCGCTCTGGCGTCCTACCGTCGAGCAGGTTAGGCTGGCCTTCAGGGGTGGGCTGCGTCAACCCGCGATCCTGGGACTTGTTGCCCGACGCGTTTGCGCAGCGTTTTATTGACATTCTCCAATTGCGGGAGCAGGGCCCGCAGCATTCGGACAAGTGGCCCACGCTGATGGTCTTCCTGCCGAAGCCCGATGGCTCGGGCGCGCGGCCGATTGCTCTCATCTGCTCGGTCCTTCGAGTCTGGGCCAAGGTGCGCCGCGACCTGGCGCGCGAGTGGGAGAGCTCGCGCGCCTCGGAGGTCTTCTGGGGAGAGCGCGACAAGGAATGCGATCGCGCAGGCTGGGTTCACCGAGCTCTGGAGAATTGCGCCCGTGTCAAGGGCTTCCAGAGTGCGACGCTCGGCGCCGACCTCGACAAGTTCCACGAGCGCGTGGGCCACGATCTTGGCGTCGGAGGCGGAGGCCACCGAGTTTCCGCTGGAGCTTGCGGTAGCGGCCTGCGGGCCGAGACTGCTGCCCCTGCAGGGGGGCGGTCTCTCCCCCATTCGCGGCGCGGGGCACCATCCTCGCCGGCTGCTCGCTTGCCACCTCGTTCGCTCGGGTGTTGCTGTGCCGCCTCCTGGTTCGGATCGCCACCGGCTGCCCGTCGGTCAGGCTCCGAAGCGTCGCCCACGACGTCAGCGGCCAGGCTCCGGGCACTTCGTTGCACGTGGTGCAGCAGCTCGGGCAGGCGGGCCAGGAGCTGATGGACGGCTCCCAGGACCTCCGGCTGGTCGTCTCAGCCCGCAAGACGCGGCATTTGGCGTCGTCCTCTGTCGTGGTGGACGGCCGCGTAGCGCTGTGGAGGCCGCTCAAGTTTGTCCGCAAGGCGGTGGCTCGCAGCCTCGGCACTGACTGGTCGGTAGGCAAGGCCCGCCGCGCGCCCGCGGCAAAGCGTCGAATTCGCATTTGCCTCCGCCGTTCGTCTCGCTTGCGGGCCTTGCGCCGCGCTGGTGCCAGCACTGGGCACGCGCAGTGCGCTGGGCCGCAGGCTGCAGGGACGCGGGGCGGGGCGGCGAGGGGCATCCCGTGGCGGGATCTGGAGGGGATCAGAGCTCGAGCGCTGCATTCTCCTTGCCCTCGCCGCCGAGGCGCGGCAACCGGTGTGAAGTTGCAGATGCATCGGCTAGGTGTTCGAATCGATCCTGCGTCTAAGAATTATGGGGGTGTGATTTTTGAGTGGGCCAGAGCGGTCTGGGACTCCGCGCCCGGCGGTCTTCGAGGATGCGGTTCGGACGTTGGCCGCCACCTCCAGGCCGTGGCCTAAGGCCACCTCGCCAGCGCATGTTTACGTGATCGCGATCGGGGATCTTGGCTGAACGGCCATTTCTGCCCGTAACATTGTGCTGCCGTCTCGGGAGGTGCTTGACTTGCTCAGGATCCCCCCATCGACGGTCCGTCGCTTGGCCGAGGATGCGGCCAGGGGCATGTCTGACCTGAGGGGCCTGGAGACTAGGACCGGGTCTTCTGGAGTGTCGGGAGGAGTCGGGCCCGTCTTTTGGAAGCCGTTGCGGAAGCTCTTCTGTCGGTCCTCTACTGTCTGGTCCAAGAGCCACTCTTGCTCCCTGAGGGCTTCGGTTCCGAGGGCCCATTGGACCCAGCAGTGCCTTTTCTGTCATCAATTCTCGGCCCCCAGCGAACGCTAGCTTTGCAGCTGCGGGCCTGGCGCGCATTTCCATCGCAGGTTTGACTGCCCCGCTTGGCTTGCTGATAGGCGTCAGTTCGTTTCTCCAGAGCTTCTCGCGGCCGCCCGCGCTGTCGAGCAGAATGGGCAGGCCTCGGAGTTTTTCGCTGCCGGTAATTTGCCATGCCCGAGAGCGTTCGCTCCGCCTGCGCTGCGCCTCGCTGAGTGCCAGGTCACGCGGGTGGCGCGCCCGTCCGATGGCCGCCTCTCAGGCCGGCCGGCTTTTCACCGACGGTTCGGCACTCTTTCCCCGCGACCCCCTCCTCCGTCGGGCGGGGTGGTCGGTGGTGATGGCGGGCGAAGGAGGCCGAATGTTAACAGCTTGTTTCGGGTCTGTCCCGCGGGAGTTTGCCCCGTTTCAACAGCCGAAGGATAGTGCAGATTTCGCCTTCGCCATGTTGCCGCAAGTAGCCATGAGCCTTTTTGAGGCGTGGTCCGATTGTTTTGCTGTAAGTGGGTGCGCTACCTGCAGAGGGCGGGCCACTTCGGCTCGGAACCCGCGGGCCCATCTTTTGGGCCGCTTCTTTGCAGCGTTCGACGATGGCGCGCCGTCCATAAAACCAAGGCCCGCGCGCCGGAGGCCGACCTGCAGGCTGGGCGCACCGCGGCATGGGAGCGCAAGGCCAATTCGGTGGCGGACACCTTTGCAAAGCGGGGGGCCGCCATGCATCCCGATGCCAGCGAAGCCGCCAAGAATTTGGCAGGTTTGGCCCTCTTAGGGGAGGAGTTGGGCCGATGGGCGGGGATCTAGGGAGTCCATGGCGGGGCGGCAGCGGCGTGATGCGGATGGCCTCCCTGTGCGGACGGCTCGGCGAGGTCGTGCCGCCACGCCTCCTGCTCCGTCGCTGTCCGTTCGCATCCGCTCGATTTTGTCGCTGCAGGCGGAGGCGCCTGTGGATAGTGAGCTCGCGCTGCTCGCACAGTTGTTCGCGCGCGAAATTCACGTGGTTCGCGTCTTCGACGCAGCCGGCGGCCTCGCGCTGGCTGCGCCCAGGCTGCTCTGCTGCACCTCCTGTGGGGCCTTCGCTTGGGGCGCGGCCCGTGACCCTTTGCAGCCGCGCAAGGGTGAAAGGGCTGGGTCGGGTTGCAAGCAGCAGAAGGCGCGAGTAGCCCGTGGTCTGTTCCCTCGCTGGTTGGGCCAGCATGCGGGGTGGACGCTTGGCGCCTTGGAGACGCCGTCTGCGTCGGACTTGGCCCAGCTGGCCAACGCTGCGCTGCGCAGGATCCACCCAGCGCCGCTGGCCTCTCTCGCTGTTTTCCCGGGGGTAGCGTGGCAAGCCGATGCCGTTAGCTCGACCCTGGCGCACTGTGGCCTCGCGCCTTCGAGCCTGGCTCAGTGGGCCGAGGCGGCCTCTTCCTGGCCTGCGATGGAAGCGGAGGAGTCGGACCACGGTGCTTGAGCCCCCTCCTCGTTTTCAGGGCCTGCTGGCATTGACGGTTGGCCTGCGTGGAAAGGAAAGGATAGGCCCCATGCAAAGGTTCACGTTCTCTGAGATCAGTGCCTTGTTGGAAGACAACCGTTTGACAATCGTCAACTGTGCCGGAATACGATTCCTGGGGCTTCAACGCCGCGAATCACCATTACTGTTGCGCTTTGACGAACTTGAATCTTGCCAGAACACCACTCCTGGGACTTTACATTGCGAGTCAACGTAACTGTTGCGCCCTGACCGTTCCGACATCGCGCCAAAACGTGACATGTGGGACTTTACCCACGAGGATCCTGGAAGCGGCTGTAAACTCATGGTGTGGGAGCCACATTTGGAGAAGGAACCACTCTCCATGTGCGATGGTTGCTGCAGTTTTTGTATTACAAAAACGCAAGTACTTACTGACGCTCCCGTCGCTACATTTTGCATGCCTGCCACTTCCGTCAAAATGAGGGTTAGCAGGGGCTGCGGAGCGAGACCCATCCACAGCAATACCGTGGATCAAACAGGCGCGATCGCCCCCCCCCCCCCTCGCCCTCCGGCCGGCCGGTTGGCATACGCGCACGACGCAGATTATTACACTGCTGACCAGACATTTTTCAGCACTGGCGGGAAGCACATCTTCTCCGAGGTGTAACACGAGATCCCTCCTTGAACAAGATCCTCACGAATGCGCTCACCAAGGACAAGAACCGATCAACCGGATGAAGAACTTGCCCAAATCCATAATGGATAGGCCGAATATTGGTTATCAGCCGAAAGTTTCGCCGCGAGTTCAGGAATTTGTGCTTCCAGGCTCGGATATGGGCGCACTCGAAATTGAAGAGGAACGGCGCGGCTTAAAAGGAATGCGGAAGATCGCCCTCGAGTCCCCTGACTGCGTCAGGAGTTCCGGTTCGCGTTCTTCGCAGGATCTCAGCATGCACTTCTCGCTGTCGGGGGAGAGACCCCAGCGGAAGATGAATCTGGCCGCCGCAACGCGCCGCGAGCGGACGCGGACAAGGCCGACGCTGATGCTGAACGGTGCGGTTCAAGCAACCTGGGGGGATCGCCGCTACCACCTGGCGTTCATCAGTCCTACGCGACCTCCTCAAGGTCGGGGGGCGGCGTGGAAGACCCTGACCACGTATCCATGTCGCCTGACGACTGAGGGTCCGTGAAGTCGACGCCTCGCCAAGGTGGGGAGATGACCGATGGCTCTCGTCCGGGGGGTGGCCCCGAGGTCTGCGGCCCTGGGTGCTCGCCTACGTCGGCTCGGGAGTCATCGCCCGCGTCGGCGCCCGTTGACGGCGGGCTTGACCCGTCGCGGGGCGATCTAAACGGGGGAACGCCAGAGCCAAGGACGCCCGCGGCGAAGCAGCCGAGAAAGACCATCAGCCCGCCCGTGAAATCCTCGCTCGCGAAGCGGACCAGGACGAGGGAATGCCAGGGGAGAACCAGGGATTCGAACCGGGAAGGTACCCCGGGCGCTGCGCCCTTGAGGCCCCTTCCGATCCGACTAGTCCCGCGAGGTCGGAAGGCTGATTGCCAATTCTAAGCGGGCTCCGATTTCCCGCGTGCGCTCTCCAAGGGCCAGGGGCGCAGGGCCTGAACGTCGGAGACAGTCGAGGGCACCGTTCGGCGCGTCCTCATCCTCCGCCCGCGCTGCGCGCTCCAGGGCGTCGAGCTACCGCGCCGACGACCCCGGCGACATCAGAGGCCCCGGCTGCGCGGATCTCCCCGCGCGCCGCTGCCCAGGAAGTCGAAGTCAATGCAAGGAGGATGTCTGCGGGGCATGTTCGGTCAGCTGCCCCCTTGCAATTTGCATTACCTCTGCCCGGATTGCCCCCCCCCGCCTCTCGCGCGTAATTGCGTGGCCCCGCGCAGCATTGAATGGGGGCAGGCCGAAGAGAAGAGGCGGGCGGCTATAGCGGAAGAGCGGAACTGGGAGATGGCGCAGAAGCGGGGGCAGATTTTGGCGTCTGAATTTTAGCAGCGAGCGGCCGCTCGTGTCCAGGCCGAGAATGTCCGCGCCGCCATGGTCCGCGCTGTGGAACAGGCCGAGGAGGCAGCAAGCCTTTGCCTCGGAGCACCCGATGCGAGCTACTGCCGAGCTCCGTGAAGTGACAGACAGGGCCGAGGCCTCGGCGACGGCCAAGCGGCGGGCCCAGGCTCTCGAGCAGAACGCCGCAAAGGAGGCCGAGAGCGCCATCCCGGGGGCCGGGGGGGCCCAGCAGATGACGATGCCAAGGTTTGCTGAAGAGCTCGAGGCGGCCGAGGCGCGCGACGCTCATCCGGAGGCGGAAACCAAGGCGGCCCGGCCGCGCGAAGGGCCCAGGCAGATCGGCAGAGTGCCGAAGCCGTCGCGAACTGGGAATCGGCGGAGAGCGCCGAGGCAATGCGGCGCGCGCAGGGCGAGGTCAGTGACACTCGCCAGCAAGTACGTGCAATTGCCCAAGCGGCCAGCGCGAACTGCGTTCGCGCTGCCGCCGATGTCCGCGCTGGAGAAGACCCATCGGATCGAACAGGAGGCGAACGGCGAGGTGAACATCCCGCTCGCGCCGCGCAGCGTCGAGCTGAGAGCGTCGCAGTCCAAGGCGAGCTGGGAGGCGCAGCCCGGGCAAGTTTATCGCGAGCAGGCTGAGCTTCGCGCGCGGCAACGTTTGCAGGGGCACGTGGGTCTTGGAGCGGCCGCGGTCGCCCCAGTCAACGCGGGCCCCCCCGCGGGCGGAGGCGCCTGGGCTGGCGGCGCAAGCCCCGAGGATGGATGGGTGGGCCGTTGTGTTTCTCGCGCAACAAGGTGGCGAATTCTGATTGCGTGCTGCGCGCGAGATCGCATTGCGATGAGCACTACGACGCGACCGAGAATCGGCGCGCCGCCCACGTCGAGGCTTACCTCGGCGGAGCAACTGGACCGAGGCCGCGGAGCAACTGAAACCAAGCGGCGGAGCAACTGACACCAAGCGGAGGAGCGGCGGAGCAACTGAGCCAGTTGTTGGCCCAGTTGCTCCGCCCGCCCATCTCAGTTGCTCCGCCCGCCCCCCGTCCCCCCTGCGCCCCTGCGCCTCTGGGGCAGTCTCAGTTGCACCTGGGGTGGTTGCAGTTGCCGCAACAGAACCCAAGCGGCGAAGGGCGTGGAGGAGGGGGAGGAGGCGGAGGAGCGGAACGGGAGAGGAGGAGGAGGAGGAGGAGGAGGAGGAGGAGGAGGAGGAGGTGGAGGAGGGCTACCGGAAGCGAGCGGGCGAGAACGCAAATAACATTGATTTTCTATGGGCGTTTGAAAGTGTTTGGCTTCTTGAGCCTCCTTGGGAAGCTTTTTCGACTCCTGGAGCCGTCTCGGGGCGGTCTTGGGCCCTGTTGGAGCGTCTTCGGAGCCATCTTGAGGAATCTTGCGCCATCTTGGGCGAAACAGTACCCTCTGGCACCTCGCGGGGCGCCTCTTGGGCCCGTCTTGGGGTGCCTCTGGGCCCCTTCCGAGGGCCCTGGGAAGGGTGCAAGAGGACCCCTAGAGGGCCCCCAGAGGCCCCCGAGGGGGCTCCAAGAGGCCCCGAAGAGGGCCCAGGAGTACATTATAAAACAAGCTGTTTTTATAAGCTGGCCTGGTGCCCTCTTGGGCCTGTCTTGGGGCGCCTTTGAGCCCCCCCGAACGCCCTGGGAAGAGTCCAAGAGGGCCCCTACAGAGCTCCCAGAGGCCCCCAAGAGGGCTCCAAGAGGCCCCCGAAAGGGTCCAGGAGTACGTTATACCACATATTGTTTTTATAAGCTGTCCTGGGGCCCTCTTGGGCCCGTCTTGGGGCGCCTTTGGGCCTCTCCGAACGCCCTGGGAAGGGTCCAGGAGGGCCCCTACAGGGCTGCAGGAGGCCCCCAAGAAGGCTCCAAGAAGCCCCCAAGAAGGCCCCGGAGTACCTTACAACACAAATTGTTTGTTTATAAGCTGTCCTGGGGCCCTCTTAGGCCCGTCTTGGGGCGCCTCTGGGCCTTTCGGAAGGATATGGGAAGGGTCCAAGAGGTCCCCTAACGGGCGGGTCGGGTCGGGCCGGGCGGGACATTAAAGTATGATGCATCATCGAGTTGGCACGCGAGTACCCTAACGGGCGGGTCGGGTCGGGTCGGGCGGGCGGACCCTAACGGGCGGGTCGGGTCGGGTCGGGCGGGACATAAAAGTATGGTGCGTCACCGAGTTGGCACGCGAGTGCCCTAACGGGCGGGTCGGGTCGGGTCGGGCGGGCGGACCCTAACGGGCGGGTCGGGTCGGGTCGGGCGGGACATTAAAGTATGGTGCATCATCGAGTTGGCACGCGAGTACCCTGACGGGCAGGTCGGGTCGGGTCGGGCGGGACATTAAAGTATGGTGCATCACCGAGTTGGCACGCGAGTGCCCTAACGGGCGGGACGGGTCGGGTCGGGCGGGCGGACCCTAACGGGCGGGGCGGGTCGGGTCGGGCGGGACATTAAAGTATGATGCATCATCGAGTTGGCACACGAGTACCCTAACAGGCGGGACGGATCGGGTCGGGCGGGCAGACCCTAACGGGCGGGACGGGTCGGTTCGGGCGGGCGGACCCTAACGGGCGGGACGGGTCGGGTCGGGCGGGCGGTCCCTAACGGGCGGGTCGGGTCGGGTCGGGCAGGACATTAAAGTATGATGCGACATCGAGTTGGCACGCGAGTACCCTAACGGGCGGGAACGGGTCGGGCGGGCGGGCAGACCCTAACGGGCGGGTCGGGTCGGGTCGGGCGGGCGGACCCTAACGGGAGGGTCGGGTCGGGCCGGGCGGGACATTAAAGTATGGTGCATCGCCGAGTTGGCACGCGAGTACCCTAACGGGCGGGTCGGGTCGGGTCGGGCGGGCGGACCCTCACGGGCAGGTCGGGTCGGGTCGGGCGGGACATTAAAGTATGTTGCGTCACAGAGTTGGCACGCGAGTACCCTAACGGGGCGGGTCGGGTCGGGCGGGCGGACCTAACGGGCGGGCGGGTCCGACCCTAAC